GTGGGGGCGGGGGGGAACCCGGGGGGTGGGGACCCGTGGTGGGACACGGAAAAAAAAAAAAAAAAAAAAAAAAAAAAAAAAAAAAAAAAAAAGTAAACACTTTGGGCCGGCCCGGTGGCGCACTGGATAGTGCGCCGCTTGGGAAGCGCGGCGGCGCTCCTGTCCGAGGGTTCGGATCCCACATACAGACCGGCTCCTGCTCACTGGCTGAGCGAGGCGCGGGAGCAACACCGAGGCTTGCGATCCCGTTGCCGGTCCCCGGTCCGGTACGGGGGCAACACTGAGGGTTGCGATCCGTTGCTGGACACGGCAAAAAAAGACAAAAGACAAAAAAAAAAAAAAAAAGAAAAAACTTTGTTTCCAGCTACAGCAATCAGCAACTCATGGCCAGTCTTATCTTATTTGTACCACACCACCCTCTTTCTGCCTTCTCCCTGGATTATTTTGAGTAAATCCCAGTATCAAAGCATTCATCTGTATATATTTCAGTATGTGTCTCTAAAAGATAAGGACTCTTTTATAAAAGACATAACTGCAATATATAATCACATTTTAAAAATCAATACTAATTCCTTAATTTTTTTTTTTTCCTTTTTGTCTTTTTTTACTGACGGGTAACGGGATCGCAACCCTCGGTGTCGCGCCCGTACGGGGGACTGGCAACGGGATCGCAACCCTTGGTGTTGAGCCCACACCACGCTCAGCCAGTGAGCGGGAACCGGTCTCCACATGGGATCCGAACCCTCGGTGGGAGCGCCGACGTGCTGCCAAGCGGCGCACTCTCCAGTGCATCACCAGGCCGGCCCCTAATTCCTTAATATAATCAAACATTAAACATGTTTAAATTTCTCCAAATCTCTCCCCTTCCGTCTTTCTTTGTTACAATTGATTTGGTTACATTAGGATCCAGATCTGCTTCTTGCATTGGTTGCTATGTCAGCTGTCTCTTAAGATTCTTTTAATCTATAGCTTCCTTTCATTTAATTTTTTTCCTTTTACTCCATAAAGTTTCTCAAAGTCTGGATTTGCTGGCTCCATCCCAGTAGTGTCATTTAACATGTTCCACAATCCCTTGCATTTCCTGGTGATTGGTTGCTAGATACGAGGCTTGGATTCACTCAGGTTAGATTTGGCTTCAGAGGTATATGTTCTTACTGCAGGAGGTCCATTTTGTGTGGTAGTCTCTCTGTGAAATTAGCAGTCATTGATGATCATTTGCTAGATCCATTATTTTAATCGAGGTTTGCAAAGTACCATATTGTAATTGTTTTATTCCCTCTTTATTTACTAGCACGGATACATTGCTAGACAGAAAAGTTCCCTTCTCAGCTGTTTATGGTTACCCTGAGCGACAATTCATATAGGAAAGACAGGAGAAATGATTGGCTCTTCCCTTTTTACTTACTGGTTTTAGAAAAATATATCATTTCCCTGTTATCTTCCAGAGAGACTGAGAGTTAGTTTGCTTTTGATTTGCTGTCATTATGGTTTTTTGTGGTGCTAAGATTTAGTTTCTTTCTCTTTCTAGTTTGCATTTTTGTACTACTAATGGGTTTGTTCTTTCTTGTGTATTTATGGAACTGATTATCGGTTTTCGGATTCCAGGTGCAGGACTCCCTTGAAAATTTGTTGTAGGGCTGGTTGTAGTGGTGAACTCCCACGGCTTTTGTTTGTCTGGAAAATATACCATATCTCCTTCATTTTTGAAGGATAGGTTTGCTGGATATAGTGTTCTTGGCTGACAGTTTTTTTCTTTTGGTATTTTGAATATATCATCCCATTTCCTTCTGGCCTGTAGAGTTTTTGTCAAGAAATCTGCCATTAGTCTGATAGGGGCTCCCTAATAGGTGATATGATGCTTTTCTCTTGCTTCTTTTAAGATTCTCTCTTTGTCACTGAGCTTTGCCAGTTTGACTATAATGTGTCTTGGAGAGGATCTTTTTGGGTTTAATCTATTTGGGGATCTTTAAGCCTCCTGGATCTGAAGGTCCATGTCTCTCCCTACACCCAGGAAATTTTCCATTATTATTTAATTGAGTAGGTTTTCCATGCCTTTTCCTTTCTCTTCCCCTCTGGAACATCCATAATTTTAATGTTTGTGCACTTAAGGTTGTATGCTAGCTCTCTTAGCTTTTCTTTATTTTTAAGAAAAATCTATTTACTAATATATATTTTTTACATTCTTTTTACATTTTCTTTCATTCAGATGTTGTGGAGCAGTTGTTGGTGAGGGTAGAGAGGAAGGGGGAAGGAAATAGGGTGGGAAGAGTAGGAAGGAGGGAGGGCTTTGTTGAGGCCCATGGCAACCCCTCATTCCAGCAGAGGAGACCAGGGGGTTCCAGCAGTGGCTTGGTGATCATTGCTGGGCTGGTTGTGGATGTCAGTGGGGCAGGGCTGAGGCCCTTGACCCCCTCCCCCCATGACCCCAGTTCAGGAGCCTGGTGCGTTTCCTGCAGCGGCAAGGTGGTTGTCACTGGGTTGGGTGTGGTCTTTGCAGGGGCGTAGCTGAGGCGGACAGCCCTCCTTCCTCCCTGCTTGGGAGCCCAGGGGGCTTCTGGTCCTTCTGGGTTTTATGGATGTTCTTTGGTAGTGTTAGACTTTTACTAGTTAATATGAGACTTTGTCTCTGATCTGTGGGTATTTTTTTTCTTCTTTCAGTTCTGTGTTGGATTATTCACTGTTCTCACCACTTTAACTCTGCACTAGAACTAATTTGTTGTCCTTTGCTTACTAATAAAATGGAGAAATTTCCTGTGGGGACCAGCACTTGAGCCCTGTGTTTGAGCTACATTGCTGCTTTGCTGCTGATTCCCTGGGGAAGGCTTTTCGTGCAGCTCAGGTTTTAGTTGTTGACCTTACAAGCGCTTCCAGGTCTTGTGAGATCCAGTACACCTGGGTTGTGTGGAAACTCTGGTCTGGGCCTGAGTCTTTTCAGCAAACTGCACCCCCTGCAGTTCTGTATTCCTGACCAGTCTCCACTGAGAGGGTCTCTGCTGATTGGAGGGCAGATCAGCTGTGCTTGCTGTGCCCCAGTGCTCCCCCACTGGGTCCTTCTCCCCCACTGCCCACAATCCAAACACTTCCCATGGGACAGGCCGTGTGCCACTCTTTTGTGATGACTCACTGGCCTCTGAGTGACTCCTCTCTCCTATGTGGGTCCACAGAAACACTGTTAGTGGTTTTGCGGCCTGGGGGCCACTGAGGCCCTCTTCTCTCCTGCTGCCTCCAAGCAACTTCATATGAAGGGCACAGCTGCAGCTTTTGCCAGCTTTTGCTCTGTGGGCTCACCAGGACCAGCTTTAAAGTGACAGGTGCTCGAGATGGTTGGAGTGGTCCTCTCCTTCTCTCTTCGTGACTTCTTCTGCCTTCATGAACTCTGTAGGTCTCTCCTCTTCTCCCGAGCTCTAGTGGCCATAGCTTTGCTGTCGATCGATGCTTCATAATAGCTGTAAATTGGTTGATTTGTAGGAGAGAGTGACACTGGGGACTGTCTATTCCACCCTCTTGACTGGAAGCCACTTTATTGCCTTTCTTATTCCACATTTTGAATGCAAGACTAGTATTTTAACATAAAATGAACAGATAAACACTCTTTTAAGTAAATAATAAACCGAATAAAACTAAGTTATAAAGTATATGTAAAAAGATTTAAGTATGCAGACCTAAGGGAGAAATTATATTTTAAGCTTCTCAAGTAGACAATTAATTGCCCATAGAAAGAGGATATTAACTAAAGAGAATTATAGTTACATTTTTTTAATTGAAACATAATTGATTGTATGTATTTATAGGGTACAGAGTTGACTATCAGTATTTGTGTATATAGTATGTGATGATCAAATCAATTTTATTACCATGTTCATCATTATAAATCGTAATTATTCTTTGTGTCTCTTTTCAGTTACTCCCTATCCCTCCTCCCTCTCTCCGTATATCTTATTTTATAGACTAGAGAAGTCACATAGGTTATATAACCATATAGCATTATAAGGACCATCAGGATTATGCAACTCCTCCTTATTTGGTAATTTAAGGATTCCAAGCAGAGAAGTATAGGGACTTGCCCTAAGCCCCACCATGAAGCTGTAGCAAAAGCAAGACTGGCCTCAGTCCATAGGTTCCCAGTGTGGGGGCCTATCCACTGCCCGTCTGCATCCGGAAGAGTCACACACATACTATGCTTTATGAATTAAATTTTATTTGTGAAGTGAACCCTATTTTTGTAAATCAGCTACTCATTCTTGGCTTTCCCTGTAGCTTTGTAGAAAGAGAACAGGCTTTGGATCCAGTTAGGCCCTGGGGTTGAATCTCAGGGGTTTGGTTTATCCATTGTATCTTTGTAGGAAGAGGTTTTAATCTCACTAAGCCTTAGTTTCTTCATGAAAAGGAAGCATGCCTATTCAGTGAGAAATTTTAAATACTAAGTCAGTATCTGGCATGAAGTAGGCCCTTGACAAATGATCATTTTTTTTCTGTTTATTTAATCTAAAATTTGTTTTGCAATTATTTGCATATTTCAGTTTTACTTAAAAACAGGCAAATTCACCAGAAACCAAGAAATAAAACTGTTTAACCATATTTTCAGACATCTTCAAAATATCTCTCTTGATAGCGAAAGTGTACAAAATCAACAAATATACTTTATCTAAATGCCCAAATGCTTTCTTATATCCTATAGGTCAATTTGGAAAATGTGATCTCTTTGATTTTTAAAAACCCACTTTAAAATCTCACAACATTTCTAGGAAACTTGTAAAAATCTTATATAATGTTCTCTAGAACCTAAATAACTGGTTTTCATATGCAGGAAATGAAAATCAGGAAAATATTCCTGTCTTTATGATAATTAGTTCCTGTGTTATAGCAGTGATAGGTCCTCTCAACTGTTTCTGCCTTTCTTAGAAAAAAATCAGAAAAAGTTGAAAAAGAAAAGGGTAAGAAAAATGTGAGACATTGTCAAGCTATCATCAAATCACTGTTTTTGTGGTATTATGTGGGTTCTCCTGAGTATTTTCCATGGTGAATATCACTTGTGCCTTCTTTCCCTCCTAGTGCGCTCTTGCTGCTGATGAAGTCGTATTTAATCAGAAAGAACTGGAGGTGAAGGACCTGAAGAATCAAGTGCAAATGATGGTACAGGAAAATGAAGGCCATGTTGTATCTTTGCAAGAAGTACAAAAAGTGAATAGATTGCAGGTAGGGTTTCTTAAGGTATCTGTCTCTGAAGATTTAGTTGAAATAGTACCTAACTAAACATAATAGCATTTTCAATAATAAATTGGAATGTTTTACAAAGGCTTGCTTCAGTTGAAGAGTTCTGAACATAGGTATCTGAAAGAATTATTATAGCTTTCCCCCTAAATCTGCTTAAAGAGAAAAGATTTTTTCTTGTTAACCTGACTTTTACTTCACAGATATAAAGATAGTTCCCAGGAACTTATTTTACAAATCAAATTGTGGTTATCTTTTCTCCATACTTTTCCCTTCCATTGTTTGCCAAGGTACTAGGCACTGTGATATTAAGAGTTGAAAGGTAAACATATAATTTAAACTTTTGTTTTATACCCTCATGAGTGATTTTCTCTTTAACTTTGGTAAAATCTTTCAAATTCTCTGTCTTAGCTTTCCTATCATTAACACGGATATGCCTGCAGTGTAACGTAGTATGTCCCTGGCTTTGACTCCCCTACCCTCCGGATAGTTAATGTCATTTCAAGCCTTTGGGTTTCTGTCAGAGAGAGAGAAACTAATGCCCCGAGAAATAATCTGATCCAGCACAAATTGGATTTTGATTTTGACATTATTTTATTTTGTTTTGTTTTGTTTTAACTCTTTTAATTGTGTAATAATTTTTAAATATATATAAAACAAAATGTATTGCTCAGGGATTTATCACAAAGACAACAGCTGGGTAACCACCACCAGGTCAAGAAATTGCAAACTGCCAGGCCCTCAGAAGTCTTTAGTGCCTCCTTTCAATTCCTATCCCTCCCATTCTCCTAACTTGTATGGTAGTCATTTCTATGCTTTTCCTATAGTTTTTCTATTGAAGTATGTTTCCTTAAACACTAAAGTTTAGTTTTTGGAATTGTTATAAATTTATTCAGTAAGTTCCTCAGTATCTGACTGCTTTTATTAAACAGTTTGTTTGTTATGATTCATCCATGTTGTATGTATCTGTGTGGCTTGTTTAGTTTTATAGCTATATAGGATTTTATTGTATGAATATATCACAGTTTTTTTTTTTTCTGTTCTACTGCTGGTGTTTATTTGTGGTTTTTTCCTATGACTTTTTTTTCTTACATGTCCCTAGGTACACATACAGCACACACATCTTTCAGATTTGTGCCTAGGAGTTGAATTGCTCGGTCATAGGGTAGGTGTATCTTCAACTTTAACAGATAATGCCAGGCTATTTTCCAATTTACATTCTTGCCCAGCACTGTATGAGTGTTCCTGCTAATCCTCATGCTTTTCAACATTTGTTATTGTTAATTTTTAAATCTTAGCCAATTTGGTAGGTATGAAGTATTATTTTATTGTGATTTTAATTTGCATTTTCCTGATGACTAGTGAGGTTGAGCACTTTTTCTTGTTTTTGGCTATTTGGATATTCTGTTTTGTGAAGTGCTTGTTCAAGTCTCTAACTTGTTTTTCTATTGGGCTGTCTGTCTTTTAGATTAATTTGTAGAAATTTGTTGTATATTCTGGATAGGAGCTCTTTGTCAGTTACATGTTTGCAAATATTTCTTCTCTTTCTGTGGCTTGCTTTTTACTCTCAGTGATGCTTTTTTTTCTTTTTAAAATACAACAAGGATATGCACATTTATTTGTTCAAATAAATACATAAACTGAATAACAGATGAAGAACAAAATACTATAGAAAGTATGGCTTTAAATTTTCATGAAATCTGGAGATGTAAAACTTATTAAAATTTACATATTTCATTTTAAAATCTGTATAACTATTTGAAATAGGTCTCTAAAGTCTTCCAGAAGTATGCAAATATCAAATTAATTTCAAGAAGAAAATGAATAAACTTTTCAGAGGCAAATTAATTTCTAAGCAAATCAACAAGTCCACTTAATAAAAAGAAATCAAGGACAGAAATTAAATATCTAAGTTTAGCAGCATTAATTGCATTAAAAATAATCAATAAAACAGAATATAAACTGAAAGACACTTCAAACAATTTGTGGAAAAATGGAATTGAAAGATAATGGAAATCTTTCCATAAATTTTTTGTTTGTTTAAATTTTTCTTTTCTTTTCTTTTTTAAAAGAATAAGATCATAGAAAATATGTTCTATGACCACAATAACAGAAGGAAATTCAGGAAACTCACAAATGTGTGGAAATTAAACAACGCTCTTAAATAAACAATGGGTAAAAAGAAAAATCACAGAGAAATTAGAGAGTACTTTGAGATAAAGATCAAAACGCAACATATCAATTTATAGGATGCAGGGTTCATGCAGTGCTTAGAAGAAAATTTATACTTGTGAACACCTAATATTAAAAATAAGAAAAATCCCCAATCAGTAATGTGAACTTCTACCTTAAGAAAATAGAAAAAGTAGAACAAACTAAACCAAAAGCAAATATAAGTAGAAAATAACAGAGATTACAACAGAAATATATGAAATAGGGAGTTAAAAAACAATGAAGTAAAAAAAAAAAAAAGTTGATTTTTTAAAAAGACCAACAGAATTTGCAAACCTTTATCTAGACTGACCAAGAAAAAAGAGAGAAAGGGCCGGCCCGGTGGCGCACTGGATAGTGCGCCGCTTGGGAAGCGCGGCGGCACTTCCGCCCGAGGGTTCGGATCCCACATGCGGACCGGTTCCCGCTCACTGGCTGAGTGAGGCGTGGGAGCAACACCGAGGGTCGCGATCCCGTTGCCGGTCCCCGGTCCGGTACGGGGGCAACACTGAGGGTTGCGATCCGTTGCCAGACACGGAAAAAAGACAAAAAGACAAAAAAAAAAAAAAGAAAAGAAAAAAGAGAGAAGACCGAAATTACTAAAATCAGAAATAAATAGGGGCATTATTACATTGTCACTATAGCTTTTTGTTTTGGTAAGATTTAGTTTCTTTCCCTTTCTTATTTGCATTTTTGTTCTACCAGTGGGTTTTGTTCTTTCTTGTGTATTCATGGTAGTGATTACCACTTTTCAGATTCCAGATGCAGGACTTCTTTGAGGATTTCTTGTCGGGCTGGTCATGTGGTGGTGTACTTCTGCAGCTTTTGTCTGGAAAATACACTATTTCTTCCTCATTTCTGAAGGATAGCCTTGCTGGGTATAGTATTCCTGGGTGGAAGTTTTTTTCTTTTAGTATTTTGAATATATCCTCCCATTTCCTTCTGGCCTATAGAGTTTCTGTTGAGAAGGCTGCTGTTTGTCTGATAGGAGCTCCCTAATAGGTGACTAGACGCTTTTCTCTTGCTTCTTTTAAGATTCTCTCTTTGTCTTTGAGTTTGCCAGTTTGACTCTAATGTGTCTTGGAGAGGACATTTTTTGGTTGAATCTTGTTTGGGGATATTTGAGACTCCTTGATCTGAAGGTCCATGTCTCTCCCTATACCTGAGAAGTTTCACTTTATTATTTGGTTGTGTAGGTTTTCCATGCCTTTTCCTTTCTCCTTCTGGAACACACATGATTCAAATGTTTGTGAGCTTAAGGTTGCCTGCTAGCTCTCTTAAATTTTCTTCCTTTTTTTTTTTTTTTTTTTGTGACCGGTAAGGGGATCGTAACCCTTGGCTTGGTGTTGCCCGCAGCACGCTCAGCCAGTGAGCGCACCAGCCATCCCTATATAGGATCTGAACCCGCAGCCTCGGCGCTCCCAGCACTGCATTCTCCCGAGGGAGCCACAGGGTCGGCCCACATTTTCTTCATTTTTAAAAATGCTTTTTTCCTTCTTTTTTGTTTGCCTGGGTTATTTCAAAAAGACTATCTTCAAGATCAGAAATCCTTTTGTCTGGTTGTACTAGCTTGCTGCTTCAGCTGTTGGTTGTGTTTTTTATTTCATTTTGTGCATCTTTTGCTTCCATGAGTTCTGCTACCTTCTTTTTTAAGGTAGTAATCTCTTTGTAAATTTCCTCCTTCATATCCTGGATTTTTTTTTTTTTTTCCCCTCATTTCATTGTGTTGTCTGACTGAGTCTCCTTTTGTCTCAGAGAGTCTCCTTATGATTGTTGCTTGGAATTCCTTCTCAGTTATTTTAAGGGTTTCCTGCTGTGTAGGGTCTGGTGTTGGAGAATTGCTGTCTTCCTTTGGTGGCGTCATATTTTCTTGTATTTTTGTATTTCTAGTATCTCTACATTGATAATCTGGTCACCTGGTACAGCAATTGCTGTTACTCTGGAGTGGACTTTGAGGAGACGACATCTTCTTTTTCTGGTCCCTGCAGACTGTCCTTGTGATATGTAGTCGAGTGTCTGGTAGACTGCCTGCATGCTGCTGTGGCATCAGGCCGCTTTTGCGGCAGCCATGGCTGTGGTTGTCTACCCATTCAGAAGTGGTGTTTTTGGCATGTTCTCTTGCCTGCTTCTGGGTGGAGGGGGCTGTGGCCCTTGGCTCCTTCTCAAGAAGTCTTAAAGACTTCTTGTTGTAATCAAATTCAGCAATCTTTTTCTTCATGGTTAATGATGTTTGTTACCTATTTAACAGGTTTTTCCTTTTCCCAATCCTTCCCTTTGAAGATATTTTATTATCTTCCAGGAGCTTTATTGTTTTGCTTTTCACATTTAACTCTGTAGTCTTATAGGAGTTGATTTTGTGGGTAAGGGTAAAGTTCAAATTTCATTTTTTTTCCCATATAGAAATCCAGTTGTTCCAGCGTCATTTATTGGAGACTGTTCTTTGACCACTGTTCTGAATGCTGTCTTTATCATAAATCAGGTCCATTTGTACATGAATTCGTTGTCTATTTCTGGGCCTTCTGTTGTATCCTATAGGTTTATTTGTCTATTCTTGAGCCAATATTACATTTCTTATTTTTTGTAGATTCATAAAAAGTCTAGACATTCTGTAGAGCAAGGCCTTCTGCTCTGTTCTCCATCCCTCCCCCTCTTCAAATGTTTTTGTCATTCCATATGAATTTTATTTTATTTTTTAAGAAAATTTTGGGCCGGCCCGGTGGCGCACTGGATAGTGCGCTGCTTGGGAAGCGCGGCGACGCTCCTGCCCGAGGGTT